GGTAAATACAAACATTTATATATATGGAGGTGTGGCCTAGCCAAGATGTCAAGATTTTAGGTAAATACAAACATTTATATATAACATGGAGAGGTGGCCTAGCCAAGATGACATGATTTTAGGTAAATACAAACATTTATATATAACATGGAGAGGTGGTGATGGAGACGAGACCGCGGTAGCGTTTTTAAATAAATATGATCGTCTTCGTATTTAGTTTGGTTCATTTCTCTTTAGTAGTCTTTATTTATTATTGGGCTCTTTTTATTATTATTATTAGTGTTGGGCTTTTTTGGTTATTTACTGAAACTTTTAAGATTAGGGATTTTCTGATGTATTAAAGGATCGTCTTCTCCCTTTTAGAGGACATACTTGATTATTGATATTTGAGATTTCTCTTGAGAATTGTTCGTGTTCTTCCCAATCATATATACGCTCTACATCAGTTGGTATCAGCAGACCAGCAACGATCAGCGATGCCGCCGAAAAGAAACGCCGTAATTGATCAAGCCATCGATGAACGCTTCCAACGGATCGAGGAGCAGTTCCATGGAGTGGACGAGAGTGTTACGGATATCTCCACGGGGATCGAAGACTTGCGTGATGCTATGCGAATGTTGATGGACGAGGTACGTACGAACCGCGTGGCGGCTGACCGGGGCGCGCGCGGAGGGTTTCGCGGTGGTCGTGGCGGCCGAGGCTTAGGCGGGGCGCCCCGCTGGCAGCCACCATTCCAACCGCCCGACGAGGAGGACTCCGACGACACCCCAACAGCCGATAACCCCTTCGTCGATGGCTACCGTGAGCGGGGTCGAGGCGGCGGCTTTCAGCAGGCGGGTGGTCGTGGGGGCCGACGTGAGGAAGAAGGGTTTCGGGGCGGCGACTATCGCCATCGCGAGGAGGAGCGGAGACACGGTCGTGAGCGGCCCCTCGGGGAGAAGTTCTTCGAGCGTGAAGGGGCTGGGTCGGACGAAGAGGGACGGCTCAGCCGCGTGGGATACCAGGACGACGATTTCCGTCGGAAGGAGCAGCGACCTGGAGCTGACCCGTGGCGGTGTGACAGGTACGGTCCGGAGGCTGAGGGCGATTTTCAGCAGGCCCGGGAGTACGATGTTGGCCGTGGACAGCCTGGGGTTGGGCGGCACCGGCGCGAGGGCATGCGTCCGATAGAAGGGGGCGATGCGTCGCGTTGGGAGTCCGGCTTTCGCGTGGATATTCCCGAGTTTCACGGTGGAGTTCAAGGTGATGAATTCTTGGATTGGTGGGCTTCAGTGGAGGCCGTGCTTCGATTTAAGGAAGTGCCCGAGGATCGGTGTGTTGATCTTGTGGCCACGAGATTTCGTGGGCGTGCTGCGGCGTGGTGGATGCAACTTACGAGCGTGCGGCATCGTCAAGGGAAAGCACCGATTTCTTCCTGGGTCAAATTTCTGGAGTGTGTGGAGCGTGAGTTCTTGCCATTCAACTATGACAGTATTATCTATCAACAGCTTCAGAACTTGCGGCAGGGGTCGCGTTCAGTTGACGACTACACTGATGATTTCTATCGTCTTCTGACCCGTGTGGAGTTAAAGGAAACAAAAAATCAGTTGATTGCTCGTTATGTGGGAGGGTTGCGTGTAGCCATTCAGGACATGCTTAATTTTGTTCGACCGGAATCCGTCTCAGATGCGCACCAACGGGCACGACTCGCCGAACAGCAGTTAGCCCGAAGGGCTGGACCTTCGTTTGCAAACTCCACGCTTGCGGGCCCGGGTGGTAGTGGTACGTGGCAGTCCGGTCGGCCGGGGCCTTCGGCAGGTAGCGGTGACGGACAAGTGGCGGTTGGTCGTGTCCCGGGACCAAACGGAGGGCAGCCGCGAGCAATAGGTGTGGGGGTCCCGTCGGCATCTGCGGGCCAACGTGGGGGACCAGGCTTGCGGTGTTTTGGTTGCGGTGAGGTGGGTCATCGTCAGTCGGCTTGTACTCGTGGCTAGGACTCTCGGGGATTATTCATTGATGAGCACGGCGAGCTTGAGGAGCACGTGGAATATGACGGCCCGCCAGTGTATGATATGGAGCCGGGATTGCAGGAGGAGCATCATATGGGGGATGTAGGGATGGCACTTGTTCTTCGTCGTTCGTGTTTGACACCTCGGGTGTCAGGGGATGAGTCGACGGAGCGGCACCATATTTTTGAGTCCACATGCACTGTTGGTGACAAGGTGTGTCGCTTTATCATTGACTCGGGCTCTTGTGAGAACGTGGTTGCGAAGGAGGCCGTTGACAAACTGAGGCTTTCGACGGAGCCTCACCCCAGCCTTACACTTTAGCGTGGATCCAGCGGGGCAACGCTATTACGGTTGACCGTCGGGTCTTGCTTTTCTTGTCCATCGGCGCTAACTATCGAGATCAGGTATGGTGTGACGTGGTGCCCATGGACGCCTGCCACGTTTTGTTGGGTAGGCCTTGGCAGTACGATCGAGCAGCTGTTCATGATTGCAGGCTTAATACTTATAGTTTCACTTTCGGGGGTACTAAGATTGTGCTACATCATGCTCCCTCTCGCCCTTTACCGTCTGCTCGTACGTCGAGTGTTCTTTTTCTTTCGAGGGCGGATTTTGGCAAGGAACTGAGGTCGGCACCTTTTGTTCTTTTGCTTATGGGTGCGGACAGGTCGGGTGATCATGAGCCCCCGACCGTAATGCAACCGCTTTTGGCTGAGTTTGCTGACATTTTTCCTACGGACCGTAATGCAACCGCTCTACATCAGTTAATTATTTGCTTCTATTTTTTATGATGTGGTATGAGAGAAGTTTACAATTTCTAGAACTCTTTCTACATTTCAAAACTTTGCTAGACATGCTGAGTCGCTAGTTTGCTCCTATATTTTTCTTATTTTTAATTAAAAATTATAATTAATTTAGAGAGAGGCCTAACTGCACGATTAATTCTTTTGCGGGAATTGTGCCAAAACATTTACCATTGAAAAGTGATTTAATCCAATTCACGTGGAGAGAAATCCTTTTATTTATTTATTATGTAGACCACAATTCACAAGATTCATTAGAGATGTGACATAATTTCAAAAATAATACTACTATATTGTATTGTCAATTTTCAGAAAATTAAAGACCAGCAAATTTGAACATCATCATTAAACTCAATAAAATAAGTGGTCAAACTGATAAAAAGAAAAATAATTACAATGAAATGAATTACAAGGCTATAAATAAAGCGCTTGATTATTGGTTTGCCAAATTATCAAATTGAATACCTACTTTTTTTTTTTTTTTTTTT